GGGGGGGGGGGGGAAAAAAACAGCCCAGACCGCCGGCCCGGGGAAGCGCCGGCACACGCGAAGCCATGGCAGGCGCACGCGCGGCGGGGCCCCGAGAAAGGGGCGGGAAAGGTGGGCATGTGCCATTGGACGTGGGGGGGAAAAACAAACAGCCGCCCCGGCGATCGTCCCCGTGCTTTGGTCCGTCTGTCGTGCGTGTCGCCGGCCGGGCGGGCGGGGCCGCCCCGCGCGCCGGAGGGCCGGCGTGAGCCGGGGAGAGTGGGGACCCCGGCGGCGGCCGGCGCTCTGTGGCCGGCGTTCTCACGCCGGGCCGGGGCTGGCCGCGGTCCGGCGGGGCCCCGGCCCGAGGCGCCTTGGCAGCGGCACCCGTCCGTGGTGGGTAGGCCGGCGGGCTCTCTCTCGCGCTCCGGCGCCCGTGGCCCGCCTGAGGTGTCCTGGTATTTGGTCCCCCCTCCCCCCCCCCCCCCCGGGGATGGGGGGAACCGGGCGGGGGCAGGCTGTGGCCACGCGCCGGCCAGCGAGCCGGGCTGCCTGACCCCTCGCGCCCGCCCTGGCCACACTCAGACGGACGCGTTTGCCCCCGGCCACCGGGCCGTCGCGGCGGCGCTCTCCTTCGGGCGCGGAGTCGCGGGGCGCCGGGGCAGATGCCGGCGAGGGCGCCGGAGCCGGGGGGGGGGGAAATGACAGCCCCAGCGCGCGGGGGCCAGCTCCCGGACGGGAGACGCGTATGCCGGCTCCGGGCGGCCGCGGCCGGGGGCGAGGGCAGGACCGGCCCCGGCCCCGTTGCCAGCGCCGCCGCCGCCGCCGCCGCCGCCACCACCAGGGGCAGCTGATGGGAGATGAAGTGCGCGTGCGCTCGCGGTGGCCCGGGTCGTCGCCAGGCCCCGGGGACACGGTGCTGGGGTGTCTTCGTGTGAATGTCCAGATCAATTGGATTTGATGGATTAATATTTAATGCGCAATAAGGCCTCCTCCCGGGGCTTGATCCTCCTCTGACATGCTGGTGTTTATGTCTGCGTGTGTGTGTGTGTGTGTATGTGTGTGTGTGTGTGTGTGTGTGTGTGTGTGTGCGGGTGCGCGTGTGTCTGCCGGCCTCGACTCGCTCGCCCGGCCGGAGGGGCCGCGCGCCCTCCGGGGGACACGAAAAGGGGGCAGGGCGGCACACCGGCGCGTCCGTCCGTACGCGCGCGCCTTCGGCGGGCCTTGGATCGGGGGACAGGGCCGCCGCCACTCGGCCGCAGGCCGGGCAAATTCCTGGACCCGGCCGGCACGCCGCCGGCCGGGGGGGGAGGGGGGGAGGGGGCGGGCGCGCCGCCTTGGCTTTTGCCGGCCCTCTGCCGGGCGGGCCCCGGGCGTGCGCGCGGGGCACGTTGAGACGGCGCAGGCCGCTGGGAGTTGGCACCGGCGGGGGCAGCCCGGCCTGGCGCGGCGGCGGCGGCGGCGGGGGCGAGGGCGCTCTTCCGCGAAAACACCACCCCACGCCCGGCCCCCGGTCGCGCGCGAGCGGCGCGGTCGTGTCTCGTCAAGAGACCGCCCCACCTTGGCCCGCGGCGGGCCATCCCCACCCCCCAGGCCCAGAAGAATCGGCCGGCACCCGGAGGGGGGGGACTAGCGCCGGCGCTCGAGCGGCCCCGGGCATGGGCGCCGGCCGGCAGCGGCTTCCACACCCCCGGGGGCCGGCGGGGGAGGCCCGCCCGCACATCCCTTTGCGGCAAGCGCCCCCCCCCCTTCCGCCGGGGCCGACACCGGGGCCGGAGGGCGGGGGGGAAGGGAAGCAGGGGAGCGGGGCCCCGACGAATGGCGCTTTTATATGAACTACTGGCGTCCGTTTCCCTCCCCCAGTCGGGGCAGACACACGTTCTCCCCTCCCCTCTGCCCCTGGCGCCTTTCCCTCGTTCCTCCCTCTCGCCTTCTTCTGCTCGATCGCCTTCTTGCCCCCTCCCCCCTGCCGGATCACGCCTCCTGGCGGCCCTCCCCCCCCCCTCGGCTTCCCCCACGCGCGCGGCCCAGCGTACGCGCCCC